TTTAAATTATGTAATATCTATGATCAAAAAGTGCAACATTTAATATAACATTGACCCAACATAAAATAAATAGATAAATTTATACTGTAAAATACTTTATTTTTGCATGGGAATTAAATTTTCACTATTTTCGCTGAAGGAATGATTCAGTGAAAATAAAATCCGACAAATACACCCTTTTTCCTATATTTTACATTCAACTTGTCAAAAATCATTGAAAATAAACTCCGAACAAAACACCAAAAAAGTATTTTCAGCGAAAATTAATTCCAGCTAAAATAAAGTATTTTACAGTACATGTAGAAGCCAAGGCCACAGAAGAGATATGATCATGTGTCCAACTTCCATCAGCTCACATATTAATGTTTCAAATTACATAATGCATAAGTAATTTTAAACCCTGCCAGAAAAATGCCAGCCCTGCATTACAATTGGGATCAGCAAAATCTTATTTCAAGTCCATTGTCCAAGGCCTGACCTTTACTCAGTGTATTGTGCAGGAACATACAAAACTGAATATGCCAAGCAACATTTCCAATTCCCGATTTCCGAATTACCTTCAGATGCGATGTAATTCTATTTGCGAATACGTAACCTACCTAGCAACGGGCGAGGGTAGGACAGAAATATAAAATGTCCAAAGAGCACTGGTAGACATGCAACCCGAAAGAAGTCAGCGGCATATTTGAAAGCATATTTTTAAAGATAGCAGAGTGAGTGTGGGTGGGTGGGTACAAACAAGGGCAGCTAGAAAAACTATTTAAACAGCTGAGAAACATGGATTTCCAGTTGAAAAAGATGATTTTTCAGAGAAAATGGACTGAAATAGAGATGGTACGTGTGTGTTTCACAAAGTGAAATATGAACGTGGCATAGTTTTTCAACTCCCAAGATACTTGCAAAAAATACAAAAGCGCACAAACAATAAACACGCGAATTATAAGGGAAAGTGTAATTTAATTGATATTTAGAATAAAATAATGTGATTGAAAACTTTGTCGTTTTCTTAATGAAATGAATGAGTTACTTGCCCTTGGGAATAGAACTTGTTGTTGCAACTTTGTATCTTTGTATCTATGGTCAATTGTTATGCAAATTAGCAAATTATAACAAACCTACCCCCCACCCCCCTCCATTTTATATCTCAGAAGTGAAACACAAACTCCAAATCATGACTGAAAATGTGAATTAATTCAAATTTATGACGTAATTTAAATTTAAGACAAGTTTTGCAAATTTCGCGAGAATGGAAAAGTCACAAAATTTCATAATGGCTTTCGTGAAATGTTGTCTTTGTAAATGTTCTTAACTTATAGGACGCCATATTTATTCCTGTGAGAATTTTTGTGCCACATTTTGAATGTTTTTATCTCCGCTTTCATCGGGGATGACAAATGGAGTTGTTGGTATAGGCGATTGTTCGTCGTCAGTGTCGTCCTGCATCCTGTTTCCTTTGTTTCTCTTTGGAGACTGTTAACTCTATTACGTTTATGCATGTTACATATATTCTTTGAGTGGACCTCTATGAGATATAATCATTTCGTGACAATATCTTTATTTTAAATGAATATTTTTGTAATTTTTTGTCAAAATGATATTTTCGACTTCTCCTTTAAAACTTGCATATATTCCAATTGCTGTTAGGTGTTCCTTGGATGGACTTAAATTCTATTAAATTTAAACATTTAGTGAAGATATATTGGCTACAGGTCTTAAAACAAAAGTTTTTGAAAATTATGAAAAAAATTAAGTAACCTTATTTTGTTAAAATTGACAAAAGTTGACTTTGGTACTCAAAGAGTTAAATTATGAAACAGTTGACATTTATAACACTAATAATTCTGCATAGTTTACCTTTTGACAGATAGTAATAGTATTTGATAATATAAAACAAATTTAACTTCTTTTAATTTATATATAAAAAAATCAATATATTGTAGTATCAGAATAAATTTATTTATTTAGTAGAAGTAAATTGTAAACCAAAAATTGGCAATTATTGTATGCTAGATTTTTAAAGTATGTTTTACTATGACCATATATGGGTACACATTTATGTAATCGTATGTAATGATCATTTAACAAACTAAAAAATATGTTGCAATCAATTTTCTTTTTATGAAGAGATTTGCCGCAAAGAATAGCTTAGGATTACTGCTGAGGACAAGGTCATGCCCTTGTATGGTGGGATTGTTCATATATTCAAGTTGATCACCAAGTGCATTCAGTACTTTATTTTAAGTTTAGTATCTGAGTCTTCACAATAAATACAAGATCTTAATTAAAATATGCGCCATTTTAGATATATGGTGAGACATAAACTTAAAATGTTACTGATGACAAAAAAGTGCCTTTAACTCTTTGAGTGTCATTGTCAAATTTTGGCACCGTATAGTTTGCACCTCCCTATACCGTATTTATCTGGGTATAAGCCCAGGGTCCTGAACATGGAAAATCGCCAAAAAGAAGGGGTGGGCGTTTGTCCAGATATCCCCGGCAAAAAAACCCCCGAAAAATCGAGAAGATTGGCAACACGCAGATCGAACAGCGACAGGGAGTAAAACGGCAAATAAAAAACATGCAACAAAAATAAATGAACAATATCCAGCATTAGAACTGTAACAAGAAATAATTGATTGCTTATAATGTGACAAATAAACCAGAAATAATAAAAATCGACAGTGAAGATTCATTTGAATTAGAATATCTCCATCGACAAATACGCATGAATTATTTCCAGTTTTGACAAATACCGGATCAACAGCCATACAAGATCAATAATAATTTACGCAGTAAAATTGTGAAAGTTCATAATTGTTAGAAAAAACACATCTAGATCTCTATTTGTAAGTTCATTGCTATCTTCTCTGTCGCGATCGAACAAAATCCCTATAGCTTCATCTTGAAGTTTGTTGATGTCGTCCCACACAATTTGGACTTAGCACATTTAGTCCACGGATTTCGCTGTCTGGTAGCTTAGCACTTTTAATTCACGTCTAATCAGAATAAAGAGACAAGAAAAATGGATTTGCAGCAAACGACTCGCACAATGCTTGTGTTTACCGTCTGGCAATCATCTTTGACCTTTAAGCATCCGCTTTACTGATTGGCTAAGAATGACATCACTACTAGTGTTTCATCATCATCGCTTTCTTATCAGACTAGGCGTTCATCAATTATGGTGAAAGTTACCATTCAGCAAGTTATATGGATATGGCGGTGGGCTTGAAATAGGATAATAATTTCCATGACAGAAATGCAATAGCTATGGTGAAAGATGGTAAAAAAGTTGGCAGTCTTTGGCGTGACATTGCAAAAATTGCTGACCCCTGTTATGGATTCACAAATAGTTTATAGAGCCAAAACAACGTGCTTTGAACCACTCTCCCAGGTACGGATTGCTACAATATTGCAACATTGGTTTCATTGTCGACGACGCTAAAGCCGAACGAGTGCGACACTTGCTTAGCGGCTCTCCTTATACGATTTGCTTGAATCGTTTCCAAGGAAGCACAAACCAAACGGCCGGCCCTTTTTAGGGCCACGACATATTTCAAAAAAAGAAATATTGTTTCTCCTTTAATATACATTTTTTTGACTCGTTGGCTGTTATGTTTCTGATAAAAAATCTGGAAAAAATAAATGTAAACTACGTAAACAGTGATGAACGTGCTGCTCTATTTATGTCACAGCTATTTCGCGTTCACTCCTCGTTTTACGCAATTGACATTTATTTTTCAACAACAGACTGCAAGGACATAAACTGTTAATACAACGAACAAAAATAAATTTTTGTTTTTTTATTTTATTACAGGTGTAGAAAAAACACCCCTGGGCGTTTGCTAGGATATGACCTCAACTCCTTTATTTTATCAAAAGTGGGGGGTGGGCATTTGTTCGGGCATGGGCTCTTAGCCGGATAAATACGGTACATGAAATGTTGATAAAAATTGACAAACCTTTTGATCAAAAACTAAAAGGAACATCTGTCTGTATGGTCCAAAATGATGATGAAATTTAGTGAAAATTTTACAAATTGCAAAAAAAAATATGCACTGGCACTCAAAATGTTAAATTTCATGCTGTAAAAGCTCTCATGTCATGTGACCTGTCATCTGAAAACAATTCCTGTCTGTATCACATAACACAGCGATGAAATAAACATTGCTCTATTTACTTGAAATTTATTCAGAGTAATGGTCGACTAAAGAATAAAATGAAAACGCATGTATCTCACGAATGTCTAGTTCCATGATCGGTAGACTGGCTTTGATGGTTATGATTGTTGCTTTGATTTTAATGTTACAGTTTGATAGTATAAGCAATATGTGTATCCAGGGAAACCAATTTCTTGGCTAATATTTGTAAAAATGCCTGAAACTGAATGTAATTGTGAAGGAAATATTTGACTATTCTCGTCAATTTCCTGCATGCCCCTTGTAAATTTTAAGCCATGTGTGTATTCAACATTATCATTTGAATAACTGTGGAAACAACCATAATATATTTGATGTCTCACAAATGTTATTGTCAAATTATTAATTCATTTTAATACAATTTTTTTTTAAGGTATCAGCATGCCAAGTTCAGACAGTAAAGATGTCGTTGGGTGGCCTGATGATGTCGGTATAATCGCAGTGGAAGCATACTTTCCCTCTCAGTATGTCGACCAATCAGAGCTGGAGATATTTGATGGTGTTTCTACGGGAAAGTATACCATCGGTTTGGGTCAAGATAAAATGGGGTTCTGCTCAGATAGAGAGGATATCAACTCACTGTGTCTGACGGTGGTTCAAAAGCTGATGCAAAATTACGATATATCGTACGAGTCGATTGGACGACTTGAAGTCGGTACTGAAACTATTATTGATAAATCCAAAAGTACAAAAACTGTATTGATGCAGCTATTTGAAGAGTGCGGTAATACAAATATTGAAGGAATCGATACAACCAACGCATGTTATGGCGGGACAGCAGCGTTGTTCAATGCACTTGCCTGGGTTGAATCCAGTGCATGGGATGGTGAGAGAATTTCATTTTCATTTTATCTAGAAATCTGGTGAAGGGTAATACAACTTTTATGCTTAGTAAGTGATATCATTCAGTAAAAATATATCATGCTATTAATATACAAATTTTCATATTATTTGGGTCATTCCAATATTTGAGTAATTAAATAATTATTCTGAAAATGAGATTTTGCTATTATATGGGCATGTTATTAGCTCCGCTGTCGACTTTGTCGAGCGGAGCTTATCATATGATGA